TGAGAATGAAAACCACACTGCAGTTGAGAGGAATGCCCTGCTTAAGCCTCTAGAGTTCTCCTCAAAGTCACATGGAAACAGCAAGAACTGCAGCCATCAGCAAACTATTTCTCTTGCTTTCAGGCTTCTGGCTGCAACCCTGATCTCAACAAAACAACCAGACCTCATCTTTATCATACCTGAAACATGCTGTCTTAAGTCAGAACACTAAAAAATATATCTATATATCCATAAAACATTCACAGAGCAAGAATTTCTCAATGCAAGTGATTTCTGACGCAAAGAAACAAGCACTCCCTAGGATGTTAGGTTTTGCACCTGGAAGTAATTTCAAGTAGTGCAGGTGTGTCTGACAACAATATCTTTTGGCTTTATTGTTAATTTTGGAGCCTTCTTAAAATGTCTATTATGTTACTCAGCATCAAGGTACTTAGAAAGCAACAGAAGCAGAAGACAGAAGCACAAGGCAGCCTACGCTACACCTAAGCACCATTTTGAATGGCCACAAACTATGAAAAATTGGAATGTAAAACCAACTAAAAATAATGACACCAGAAATAAAGAAGTCCTGACACTCTACCCAAGGTGCAAGATGTGTTGAAGTTTCAAAATTCTGCTTAAATGCCATACACATAAAATTCACTAGTGCAATTACAAGTAAGCAGGGAGATAAAATTCCCCATTGTATTCTCAGTGTTCCTGCTATCCTCTGAGAGTCTAAAATATGCAGGCACATTCACTTCTAGCGCAGCTCACATGCTTGAAATAACACCAGCTCAGACACCGTGTTGAATGAGAACTGTCTTTACAGCAGTTCCCCTTTTCAGTCCTTTTCCTAAGTTTTCTCTTTTTTCATTGGCGCCCATTCTCAGCATCTTGGCACTATCACACCTAGCACTGGAAAGCATCATAAAGTAACAGAAGAAGCTTAATGTACAAGCAAAATTACTTCAGAGGCACACAGAGATATTTTAAAGTATTCTTAAGCGATGACAGCCATTTGGAATAATGGTCAGCAGAAGTAACTTTCTTCAAAGTTCTTCCTTTTCTCCCCCCTCCAAAAACTGAACTTTAATCACACTAGTTTTAGTGCCTGGTCTAGAACACAAGAAATGTTTACTCTCGCAGATCATTTTAGTGTTGTGCATCTGTAGGAGACTCCTAGCTGAGTTCAAAACACTAAGGAAAATAAAGACGAGCACAGAGCTCTACGCCTCTGAAGTCACCCAGTAGTGAAAACCAGTTCCAAGCATTTGCTCACAACATCTAATATACTGAGCAAGTATTTAAGATTATACCTTCTGAATCTTTAAGATAGTTTTAGTAAGAAAAAGCTTGAAGGAACCTTCCCACAAGCTGAAATGGAAGACTTCACCTTGCACTGAAAATGAATGAATCTAATCTCAGAATCATAAATCATACTTCATGTCTAATGAAACAGGACAAGGGATTTGGTCTGGTACCAGACTTTTGCAGGATAAATCGTCTAGCCAGACACTAACAATGGGTGAAAGTTTGAACAGATTCAGATTTAAGAAACAGATAATGAGATTACTCCAAATCCTCTTAAAAGAATTCTCCCTCATGTCCTAAGATACCCTCTTAGTTCTGTCTTTACTAATAGAGCTTTGTTTCTCAATTATGTGAAGGTTTCCAACGTTTTAAAGTCTTTCCCTCCCCTCTTAAAAAAAAAAAAAAAAAAAAAAAGTGGGGCTGGGGAGGAAGGAGGAAAACCAATGCTAGAGTTCATAGCAATGCTTAGCACAGCTTTTTGTTATACCCCAGCTGCAGCATTCTTTCCAAGAAAACAGCAACGGAGAATGACTAACAATGATTAACATATGCGTCCACATGGGAGCGCTAAGCACACAGAAATGTCAGGTTAAAGTGCTTCCAAGTGTGCTCATCATTTCTGGCTGGCGCGTTCTCTTGGAAATCAGCATCTGCAGCACTACCACATAGCAGCTCATTTCTTGATACACTGGAGTTTACCTTTTAAATCCCAGCTCGGTATTTGAATTTAAGAAATCCTGGTTTTTAAGTTAAGCATTCTCAGAAGTTTGATTCGTAAATGCAGAGCACCCAACAGCATTCAAATCATAGTGATATGACAGAAGCACAACTGTAGCTTTTTGTTTCGTTTTTAAAGTGCCTACATAGTTCAACATGTAGATGCTCTTCAGTAGAGAGAAGGAACATTTTATTTAGTCACAGTACAGCTGCAGCTCATGACATCTGTAAGAGATCATCATAACTCCAGGAAAGATACTTACAGACATAACGAAAAACAGTGGGCCTTCACAGCCCAAAACAGGCTTATAGTCAAGCGTCTGGTACATTAAGATAATCCAAATCTTCTTCTGTTTTCACTCACTGCAATCCTTTTCCCTCCTAAGAGGAAATCTTATTTTCTGCTTCACAGAATCTATATGTGATGATCTCCACGTTCTTAAAATAACTTCTATTTACCAGCTGTTTTGTATTGGATAGACTACTACAGCCTTAAGCACTATCAAGTAATTACTTACCCTACTTCATCACCATATATACATAGGCATAAAAAGTCTTCAAGCACATCTGCACTATGTTTGCAAGAACAATTTAAAGCTATAAAGATATTAGAGGAATTTTTTTTTTAAATTGTAAAGTAAGCACACACCCTTTTGGAGGCATTTGATACAGTGCAGTGAAGTTAAGCACCTAAGGTGAAACTGAGCTAGAACAGGAATCAAGCACTTTGAGCTAGGGTTGTCATTTACTTCTCTTCTGCATTACAACAGAGGTTTCTATCAAACTCAGCAGCAGAATGAAAAGCTCACGCTTACCGACAAAAGCAAAATTTTACTTTGTTCCATTTTTCTTCTTCCACGTTTTCCCTCATTGCAACAGGAAAACCCATCTAAGCCTGCATGAAGAAATCCTAGTTGGCAGATACACTACAGAAATCCCACAGAAGTGGCTGTGCAATTAGTTATCTACACTACTCAAGTACTTATTATTCAGCCACCAGATGAATACCACTGCTTAAGCTCCTTACAGGAATGCTTTACCTCACGTTATTTTCAAGGCACAGGTAACAGCAGTGAAATCTATTCATGACTTCTAGGCTGTCTTAAGTTGAACACATTTAAGATATCAAAGCCAGTATTCAGCTTCAGAAAATGTCATGCTCTGTGAAGTTACACCGATATAACACCATCTTGTGAAATTTATAGTCTCTCATTGAACTAATTCATTTGTACTCTGACAGAAGTGTTTTGATACCAGCCTTTTAGTTACTCAAGTTCTGCCAGAAGCAAGCAAAAATACAGCCATGTTTACACACACAAATTCCCGAGGCATATTTGAAAACTGTGAGCATCTTATTTAAAATAAAAACAAACAAACATGAGCAGAATGTCTTTCTTAGCTAAGATTTTACCAAGGATGTACTGTAAGGAACATGTTTTTTATTGTATTGTACTTTGATAATGCACAAAAATTTGAGAAGAACATTAACATTTTAATGTACAACTTAGCTATTGATCCCCTTAACTAAAACAAAATATATATTTGAATAATCTGTATTGCATTTTAATACTTTAACTGCCCTATTTTAAAAACAAGTTCTCATAAACTATGTTCATACTTGTCACTCAATTCAAGACACTTTTAAAATAAACACTATTTCCTTTATACCAGTATAATTTCAACTCTTAATGCAGCTTTTGCTCTGCTATCAGGCTTAACTTGAAGACTTGGGAAAAAAACAATTAACTGCGGAAATGAACTGGTAAAGATAGTATGTTAGTTTTCTAGTTTGCTTTCTCAGCAATACAAAGCAATGAAAAACAACAAGAACCAGGTAGTTGTTAATTGGCATCTGTGTTACATGTTTACACTGGTAGTTTCTTACATTCTCAGCCAACATGCATATATAACCATCCTAATTGAACTGAAACCAGGACAAAAAAAAAAAAAGAAAGAATTTGCACTTGGAGTTATACCACAGTGAAACGCAATCCCAAATGGTTTTACATATTAACTGAAGAAATGCTTCTGTTGTAGGCATTTACCTTGGCTTTTTTTTTTTTTTTTTTAAATTAAGTCACAAAAATGCATCAAAAGGTAGAAAAACCAAATTAAATGCAGAACTACGGCCCCCAAGCAAACTTGCTATGTAGTTTCAACAGGAAATAGCTACTAAAAGTTTATTTTAAATACAGCCCCATTCCAGATCTGGTCTCTCAAGCAGGTGAGATCAATGGGACTTTTGCCTGAATTAAGAACAGTATGAGCACTCTTTTTCAGTTAAGTAGTTTTGTTTAACATGTCTTCCTACACATCAGCATGTGCTTCTGTGTGCGTATGCATATACATACACCAACAGTCACTGTATAGCTACAGATGCAAGGCCAAACTGCAGTTAAAGATTTAGACTTGGAAACTGTGCCCTTTTTAAAAAATAAAGTTCTAGGCTCCTTGAGCTCTGATGTTAGCAGCTATTCCTAATTTGCAAAGTCATCAGGTAGCACAACAGTTTAAATATAAAATACTAATAAAAATGTAAAAATTGGTACATCATACAATATATTGAAGGTAGTGGTAGCAGTATTTCAGGGTCATAAGATAGCCATACCCACAGAATGTAAAAAAAGAAGTCAAGACTTGCTTCCAAGCTGTCTTGTCACACAGAGGTCTTACCTTCATTAGCAAGGATAACGCAACAAACCACTTCCCACAACTGTGTGTTCTTTTGTATACTTCAATACATGGATATCATGCTTCTACATTTTAGCATGTTTTGGCCCTTACACTCCAGAACTCTAAGGATGAGATTTTTGGGTGCTTCTGGGGACAAGTGATAGTTAGCAACCAAAGTGTTAATAAGGTCTTTGGCACCTCTATCTCATTTGTAAAGCAAAGTCCTGCTCCATATTCTGTAAGGAAAAATCCCATCAGCAGTGCATTCTATTAGCACATCACACTGCACCATGTGATCACAGGAAAATAATATGAAATGGCAATATACATGTCTACAATTTATTTCCAATCAATTGCACAGCCGTTTGGTCCACTTCTTCAGTTACAATATAGTCCTCTTGAGAACTTTGGTTACAGCATTAATATTTTGGTAAAAAACAGAGCAGATGCTTTTCTTCAGGTAGATTTTTCATTGTCTTCTCCCGTTTTCTGAACCCGTGAATACTTTTTGCATGAAGATTTGAAGCAGCTGGGAGGCCACGATATTGGCCAGGAGAAGCTGCAAGGAACAGATCCTTGCACGTTCTTCTCAAAGAAATAAAATATTGGATACCACCAAGCTCGAGAGAGAAAATTTGTCTGCGAAGAAACCTTTAGAGTCTGTATGGGCAGAAGCAGGTAAGGAAGAAAAGGACACAGAGACAAGAAGTTTAATTAATTACTGTGTTCTACAGCAGCAACAAAAAAAATCTACATTACAGTACATATCTGCAAAGACACATTGCCTTGCAGAAACACATGTGAATACACTGCATTTATTCTGAAAAAAGCAGTGAATACTCAGGTAAGATATGCATCATAATACAGGCATGTACTGCAAACTCAGCATCTTTAACACAAAGGGCAACTCTAACGCTACGTAGTTTAGGGAGACAAAGCACCCAAATCTTTTTTGAGTGAGCATCCTTTCAAGCATGTCACGTTTTCATTGATGACTAATAGTTGAAAAATAGATTACAAGGCTTCAGAACATTCTACATTCCTACTTGAAAAGGTTATAAAAACGTACCTTCTAGTGATGCTTACAGTAGAGCTGCTATGGGAATTATGGTCTAGCATTTTTAGGTTGGTAAGAAATGTTTATCATAAGCTTAGATGATCAAGCGCTATACTGCATATCCACAACCACAATAACATAAAAACCATTTTGTTCTTGGAATTTCATTAAGTCCGAATCTCAAGAACACTTTTTAAAAACTAACAGTTACAGATCAAAAAGAATATCTTAGAGCATGAAATATTTACTTAAATCACAGTAAAAATCAAACTCCTTGCCCAATTTGTTTAAACTTCGATACAGACTCTCTATTTTTCCTTCAAAGTTAAGAGTTCACTTTGGCCTCAGGGTAGAATTAACAAATGCATGGCATACATTGATTCTGAACATATTTGCCACTCACCTTTTCATTAGCCATTGAGTGGTACCACCAGAAGAGTCGTGTAGTGATATAGTAAGCAATGATGACATCTACAGTGTAATGTTCATGAGCAACAAGGATACAAATTATGCCAGCAGCACTCATCAGCCAGCAAATTAAGTGATACCACCAGAAATGACGTGGCGAATCTGTAATAATAGGGAGATGAAGGGAGAACAAAAGCAAACATACATATTACTACAGCAATTCAGTGGGTACACTGAAAAATGAGAAGAGATGATTAAAGACTATTGAGTAGTAAAGCATACAACACAGACGGGGGATGAATAGATGCACTATCACTAGTTCTCTAGTTAGCTTCATCTCTCTTTCCCACAAATCGTAGAAAAACACTCTTATTTTGCTTGCCTACTTTGACTCTAGTCCTGTTTCTGTCTTCTGTACTTCAAGTAACGTATATTCAAGTCAAATATCTAGAATCAAGGTAAACTGTGCAGAGATCACAGATTAAACAGGGAAATTAAAAATACATCCTTACTTTAACTCTTAGTTTTAGCTACTTTACTGAGATATCTACTCTGAAAGAATACACCGTATGGAGAAGCACAGTATGCAAAGTTAACTTTTAATGAAAGCATAAGAAGTGAAACAAGCTATTTTTCAAAACGCACTTAAGCCACTTAATGGCCAAACTCCCCCTCCTTTTCTCTACCCATTGGAAAATATCTTGTGTTTCCAATGACCACTCACAACTTCTGAGAGCTTAACAGGCTCCATTTCACTCACAGCAGTAAGTTTTGTCAGCCCTTCCCTTGAGGTCCAATGGCAGCCTTGAATTCTACGCAATACTAGCAGACTAGCTACTGATCTGAAACCTATCCAGCAGCACTTTGATAGTCCTGTGCAAAACAGTGCCTACAGAAGGAATTTGCTTCCGTGCATGTGCCAACAATATTAAGTTCTCAGATGCCTCTAAACATTACAAAGCTAAACTCATGACTTAAAAAAAGTGAAGGAGCAAAGGATGGAAGGAAGAATGAAGAAAAAAAAAGTCCCAAACTGAACTAGAAATAAAAACTTAATGCATCTTTTGCTGACACGTGTCATATCAAAAAAATACGCAATTTAAACAAATGCAGTAAGTAAAATGCAGTTCAGAGCATATCTGTTTCTTAAGATCCTACTCAGCAGATGTTTTGCTAATTATACAGGAAACAGAAATAAGGAAAGCTATTCATCTCTCATACATCTGCATGTACCAAACACGAGTTATAGAGGACAACTACACAGATAAACATCCTTAGCAATGAGGCAGCAGTCAGAGGTCATTTCAAAGACACATGATACTAGTCTTCCAACCTGTTACGATAATAGCTAGTAATTATACCCTAAATACTGAGTCATCTGCATTCTTCCTTGCACTCAAGCATATTGGAACAGCATGCAGCTCCAATTACATCCACAAAACTAAGTAGAAAACAGGTCAATTCTTAGGCTATTTTCGCAATACTGATATTTTTAACGAGTTCCATATGCCATTCATCCAGTAACATTCACTTGAAAGCCTAATTGATTAGTTTGATTATTCTTATCTTAAACTACTGTTTAAGAACCATCTTGCATCCACAGATTTCAAGACTGCAATATTAGAACTAGTATTTTTAGGTATTTTTCTTAATTTATGCTTTTTTATAGCATAATACTGCAACGTCTCTCCCTCGGCATTTTAATAAAGTACAGAATTCAACTGATGCTAGCTAATCATATTTCAGTAAAAATGACATATTACTATCACCCAAGCTAGCATCTGCACAGGTTGGAGCATGACAGTAAGAAAAGATTGCAATTTGTAACATGTAAACTGGAAAGTCTTCACTACTGCATTTATAAGCAGTCAAGCTCCTAGGACAGAAGTACAGCTTACCATAGATCAGACTCGGTAGTAGGTGCTCAATTCTCTACAACTAGAATCAGTGCTGTGTGTGCAAAGATAATTCCTCACACTGTCCATATCTCACAATACTACACAAGAAAAAGGGAAGTCGTAACCCCAATTATGTCTCCTATGTGTTTGCCAAACTCTTATCAAGTGGAAAGGTATAAGAGACTCTAGCAGAAGCCATCCAAGGAGTAAAAAAAAAAAAAACAAAAAAAAAAAACAAAACCCTTCAGCTTTCCACTGCTTGATATAATTAACTTACTGTACACTTAAAGAACAAACACTGCTTCTGGACGTAGTACAAGTGTGCAGTGACCATGTAATCAAGCCACAAAAATACCATTCAAACCCCCAGCACAGCAGCCAGCCAGCATTCAATAAGGTTAGCTTGCATATTTAACTACCGTGTTTTGAGCCAAAATTGGAATATCCTGTCAATGAACAATGAAATGCTAGCCTGCTTAAAAGAAAAAAAATCACTTTTTATAAAGCTGCAAGTCAAATGTCTTCGTCAAATTAAGCCCTTAAAGCCCATACTGCCTTATTACACTCATGTTCCATTTTCACTCTGCAAAGTCACAATTTGTTTTCACACATGTAAATGTACAGTTTGTGTACAGTTGACTGATAAATTCTAGAAGGCAACAGTTTTACATGCACTTTTATCACATGCTTTTTAGTACAACAGATGCAAACAATGAGAATTTATTTAAATATGCCATAACTTACACTCTTTGATGAACAGGTAGATCAGTGTCAGTACTACAGTGTGACCACTGAACAGGAAGTCTCCACACAAGATGTGAGATCCAGTTATGGATAGACCACCACCAGATATCAGTCGCAGGATCCTCTGCACCTTTGCCTGAGAATCTCCATTCAACTAGACCACCAGAAAAAGAACACAAGAAAAGTTATGATACAAAGTAAGTAACTTGAATAAACTTCTTCCTCAGCAATATGTGGAGTTAGGAAGAAAGTGACACAAATATCTTTATTCCCCTCCCACCCAAATTTTCAATTTACTAAGTTTAGAATTACTAATGAAGCAACTACTTCAGTACTTACACACACACACACAAAAAAAAAAACCCTGCTCTAAATCTGAATAATTGCCATCAGTTCTACTTTTCAGAAAAAAAAAAAAAGGCAAACATTCAGTATCACCTAGCCACCTAAGGGCAACTCTGAGGACAACAAAGCTAAAAGGGATAATCAGGTCGTTCAGAATCAGAAAGAAAATACTCATGTGGACCAAAAAAAAAAAAAAAAAAATCCAAGAGAACTACCAAGTCTTTCAGATTTCGATTAAACCCTCTTCTTTTAATGGCAGCAAAATATTTTTGCTGGAAGGGCATATAAGCTTTCCCTGTCTCTACCCTTCCCACCCCTTGATAAGGCACGCTACAGGCAAAGTAATTTTGCAAGCTATTGGAGAGAAACATTTGAGGAGCTCTACAACAGTGAAATGTAAATTAAGCATCTTCAAATAGATAGAGAATCATAAGAAACGCAGCAGATGAAAGAGTTAAGTCAAGTTGTCCCACCTGGAAATAATCAAATGGAACAGGCATGATGCTACACCTCAGGACTGATGAGATCCTTCCCAAGGTCTCTGAAATATCTGCTTTAGTATTTGCTCTAATGAGCCATAAGGACTCAGGTAAAGATTAATGTAAGAATTAAGCAGCAAAGGCTCCTACCTTTGGCGCGCACTGAAAATGCATTCCAGGCACAGGTAAGGTGGTAACATACATAGTAATGCAGCGGTACAGGTACAAAGTTCCTATTATAAAAAAAAACCTGCGTCCCACAATTGATCTGAAAGTGAAGGGGAAAAAAAGATTCAATTCAAAGGTCACACACGATATATATAGCAGTTAAGAAGCTCTAGTTTCACTAGTTTATCTAGTTTAGATAGTTAAGTCACTAGAATTTCAGAGCAGCTCTATCTCCTACTCCGTTCTCTAAATGTCAAATACTAAGAAATCTTTTTTCTGTTTCAGTCTTGATTTTTACTATATTAAAAAATTAAAATACCATAGGGATCCTACTATACCTAACAAATTTAGGTGTGATATCAGGTACCATATTCCTTGACTCAGTGACCTTTCGTCATCTCACATGTTAAAGTCAAACATATGTTTATAATATCTATAGCTTAAGCAAATGACGACAATGGAAAAAGCTTCTAGTTTAGCTGTAGGAAATAATGGCTTTCTCCTCAGATTAAAAAAAAAAAACCCACATCACCATGATTTTCTCTCTTTAAACATTATAATTTCAATGATCACACTCTAGAAAACTCAATTCCAAAGTAAATTTGACTAGCATATGTAGGTGTCAAATTCAAATCATGAGACACTACAGAACTAACAGGAAACACCCATATCTCTGTATCCAACGTGGACACTGAAACATTTTCTAATTAAGTCATCCCTCCGCCAATTTTCTGCCAGCTCTATTCTATAATATTGCTACAGATTCCACCACAGATTTCTTTTACCCAAATCAAATGCGAGAAAGCAACGTTTGGGAAGCACACAGCAGGTAAAAACAGCTACTTACTTATATCTAAGAAATAACCATTGGAATATCCACAGTCCAACTAGTATCATTCCATTTATTTCTGATACAGAAAAAGCCCACGTCACACGATCAATATAATCAAAAAATTTGTCAGGCAAGGGAGGGCTCCGCTCTTTTGGAGGTACTCTCTCATGGACCACAGTGATCATGACAGTTGTTAAAATCAAGTTGAAGAGAGCATAGACAAAGGCAATGCCTGTTTTCCACCATTCCAGAGGAAATTTGTTCCTGGATTCAGCAGGCATAGCAATCTGGATGTAATCAGGATATTTCTTTGCAGATTTTCGCAAGCCATTCGACAAGCCCTTCGGTTTGTTATTGCCATTTTTGTTCTCCTCGCTGACTGAGAGAGTAGGGCGTGTGTATCCATTAGCAGAGTCATTGTTTTGACCCTCCATATGGTCTTCAAGTTTTGCGGTCTCGATAGTATTCATTCCCAGGCTGCAGGGTTAAACCAGGTTTTGTAAGCGACTGATTCCGAGGAGCTCCTTAAAGCCTCTTACTCCTTGAAGTCCAATGTTCCTGTTCCTAGATGATTTTTGATTATTGGCAAAACTCTTACAAAGTGTCCATTGTGCCAAAAGATAGTGTAAAGCAAGTTGTGGAGACAAGTCTTCCCCCCCCCCCCCTTAGTGCTCCTACCCCCGAAAAAAAAAAAAAAAAAAAAAGAAACTTATTGAGAACCTTCAGAACAATTAATGTGATAGTCAACAAATCTTAGAAATGTTTATTTGTGTCGCTTCACATACGCGGTCAAAAGAAAACTTAAAAGTAACTCAAAACAGTTCCTATCAAGTAATTTGATATATGATTGGTTTAGGCACTAATATGAATTCAGGCTTTTTTCTGAGTAGACAATATGAACACGTTTTCATTAACACCACTCACTTGTTAGAATTAAAGCGAATCTGTTTTTGCAAAAATATTGAATGTTATTACTCAAAAGCTTTTTCTTTTTTTTTTTTTTAAACAAAAATTACTCCTTTTGGATTACAGATTCACTCTATATTATACCTTGGTTTACCCATATAGATCAGTCAATGTTAGTTCAGATGAAATAAAACAGAAGTGCACTACTGTATTTAAGATCGATTAGCTACAAAATTCACTCAATGGATAGCTCCACTAAGTCTCCTGGGATCCCGAATAACTATTTCAACCAGAAGAGTCCCAGTGCATCTTCAAAGCTGTTGTAGCACCCACTAAACATCTGATTTTTCTGCGAATTGAGAAATACCTCTGTATTAGGCGCTTTGTTGTAGAGACCGTTACGTAGAATAAAATAATTGATCTTTATTTGTCCTTCACTTAGTTAAAAATGGGTCTAAGACTACGTTCCGAACAGGAAGTAGTAGCAAGATCCACTACAGCACAACATTTATTTTAATCTGATTCTGTTAATACAGACAAACCTGACTGCTCCATCACAGACTAGGATTTACGAGAAAACTGTTCAGGAAAAACCTGTTTGATTTCTCTCTTTATAGCAAGGACAATCAACACTATCTGGAAAATTTTTGTTTGTTTCTTTTAAGGAAAGGTATTAAGCATAGTCAGCATGTAAATCCCATTGCTATTAATATTATGCTATCTAGTTGCATTTCTCACTGCCTAAAGAAAGAAGGGGATCATTAACTGCTCCCAAGTAAAGTAAGATTCATACAATTTTTCACGTGTTTGGAACCAGGAATTAACATCCGAAAGGAAGGAAAGAACAAAGCATGATCTCCAGACTGTCGAAAACCCAGTTTTTGAGAACAAGATCACTGTAGGTGGAGATCAGCAAGGGCATACTACAATTCTGCCTGTCAACAGAGCACGTTTATTCAGATCAAAGTATTGTGTGCTCACATGAATCAGTATGTTTATTAGTTGCCGTGAAAAACACAAAACCCAGTTGGAGTAGTCAAGGGAAGAACAGCCTACTCAATGCCTATTTCAAGTTTATCAGTCTGCTTTCTCCATTTTAACAAGATTTAATTTCAAAAGCAAAGAAGTCCACATCAAGTAAGTTGCTCTATAGCAGGTTTCTTTATGCTCACCTCCTACATATCTACCCTTTAATTAAATAGCTTTGAAATGGTGCTTCATTGCTCATGGCTAACTCCTGAAGATCAGCAACAGAAAATGAGCTTTTATACACTCTGTCCCAACAGGTATTATTTCAGTTCAGTTCTGGAACCAGTTCTGGAATTTAAGCAAAAATACTGTGATATATACAAGGGAATATATTGATCCACACCTCTAGATTTCTCTAAGCACCACAGCCTAAACAATGACTTGTCTCACATACCCATAAAATGGATATGGGAAGAAGAGAAAAAACCCTTTCCCTCTGTTTCAAGAGCAACACAAAACCGTTTCCTCTTATCTCAATGAGCAGAGCTCAGAACTCTCCCAGGCTTACTGTTCTTACTAAGAAGAGAAGTATACGGCACTGATAGAAAAATGTATTCTATAGATAGAAGAGTAACAGCTTAAGCCTCTTCACTTAAGAAACCCTACAAGCTGACTGTTGCTTTCTGATTCCTGAAAGAAGCTGTACGTGTTTCTCAGCAGTACTGTGTACTCCCAACCTGAAAATATGAACACACATTTGTATTAATTGTACTAATCCAAAGCCATACAACAAGCATGGGAAGACTATGTTTTCCCATACACACCAACACAGCAATTTTAACCCTCAAAATACAACATCAGTGCTATTTAACAAAAGAAGCCACACAGTTCCAGGTTTTCCCATCAAGAGTTCCAATGTAAAAAAACATCAATGAAACATCACACTGATGAAGCATCCTTCTGGTTTCCTAACACTTAATCTCTATCTCATATAACTGTTTCTGAGATCACTAAATCACTGCAAACTACATTCCTTTTGATCACTGATGATCAAAGAAAAACATATGCCTTACGTTCTGCATGCTGAAAAGAAAATGAAAAGTAACAAAACTAAAGACGCAGCTTCACAGCTTTATTTAAGAAGTTATTCCACACCAGAGGAAGCCAGTTTAACAGTTAAATCACCAAGTTCTTAGCACTGAAAGCACTTCCCGACTCTTCTGGCTTTCTGACTCAACTAAGAAAACATTACAGCTATTTCAAGGCACCTCTTTAGTTGTTCAGCTACAGGAGTGAAAGGAGTTAAGTGGCACCTCCACTGGCTTCCCTGTGCCCAGCTGTATGCTGCAGTCACACACCTTGAAGCCCACCTCCCAGTTCTTCCTGCTCTTCCCTCAGGTGCACAAGCAGGCAGCACTCAGATGCTTACACGTTGTTGTTCAACCTGTCTCGCAATTCCTCCTAACGCTTGTGGTGCATTAAGATTCTGTGGTAGAAACGGTAATGCAACATTCAAGAGGTTCTCACGCAGAACAAGGGCTGAGCTACAGCACACACATCTGCAATTCCACTCCACTTCCTCTAGAGGGAAAACTACTAATCAAGCAGTCTTTGTAGTAAATGACATGCATTTTGGAAAAGGCCTGAGGAATTTTTAAAAAGAACCATCTGTTCCACTTAACTGAAAGGGAAGATAAAGGCAACCTCAAAATATCTCAGACCCACTGCCAAACAAGCAAAGGTTCTGATTTGTATCCTCTTTCAAGTTTAACTTCTTGAAGCAGCTTTCAGCACTGTAAGTAGCTGAACATGATGCTATGGTATGCGGCTGAGACTCAGGGAATAATACTATTGCCTACAATCCACCCCATTTTTTGTTGGCCTTCATGTTTTTGAAAACACTTAACATTCTTGTCATCTGACACTGAAATCAGCATTACACAGAGAAGATGACGCTGATAAAAACGTTTCTATTTATGTCACACTTGTGGTTTGTTCTCATCTTTTCTCCTGCTTAGGAGCTTGCTCCACCTTGCACTTGATGCTGCACAACACCATGCACAGGAATTTTTGTTTCCCATTTCTTCACCAAATTAGGTTTTTCCCCTCTAACCAGAAGTAAAAAAAATCCAGAGAGAAGCAAAGCTCAAGAGTTCCTTTAAAATCCATTGTAAAATACCAATGGCCTTAGAAAGCACTTAGTTTCATTCCCTGAACTGTACCATTGTTTTTATTCTTCTTTCAAATTATTTTTTCTATTCATGAACAATCATACTGCAATGAGAACATACTGAAATAAAAAGAAGCTTCCTCTTAGACTGATAATGCATCAGATGGACAAGAGCCCCAGTTTTTACGTTCATAGACTTTCACGGAACAGGATCATAATCGAGACTGAGAGTCAAGACTTCAGACTCTGCTCAGTTCTTCATGGGCTCGTAGACACTTTAAAATCAGAACTCTTTTTGAAATGCATGCATCTTTAGTCCAATGTAAATACTGAGAACTTCCAGAAGATTTTTGTCTATGTAAGTGAGCCAGTAGCAGAGATGCCCAAATGTTTTATGCTTTAGAATTGTAAACAATTCAGTCCTAAAGGCCAAAGAAAATCCAAACAAACAATAACCTAGCAACACAGAAGCAGAGTGACATTCAGGCTTTTATATTAACTTATTAAAAGCTGTTATACCTACAGCTTACAGACAAAGCAATGTTCCTTTCTGGTACTTTCAGAGGACTGCAAGGCATATCGATCTACCATTCCTGATGTCTCATCAAAATTATTTCAAGCTAAGAGCATACTGTGAACTCAGAATAAAGTTTCAGAGTACTATATCATTTGAGCTGCAGGAAGTCAAAGGCTTTTCTTCCCTCATTGGGACTCAGTCTATTTTTCCTCATGTTTTCAAATAATGCTTATTTATCTTACTAATTAAAAAACTAAAAAAAAACACCAGACTTGTCTGAAGCTTCTACTTCCTTGTTGCCAAGTTGACTACCCAGAAAAGTGACAGACATAAGGCTAATCATCCTCTGATTCAGGCTGTGAAAACTACTCTCCAAATGCACGCAAGTTTTTCCAGCCAAAACCAAGAAAACCAAATCCGACACACACAGATCCCTACCTATGCACCTACAAGGCATTTATTCCTTGGAGTTTCCACACTGTCCTTACATTCATGCAAACTATCCTATTTCTTTTGTGCAACCTGCAATGCCCCTAAATCAAAAGATAGGAGGTGACACAGACTGTTAGGAGTAGGCTTTAGACTCCTTCATTATTGGGTAGCAACGCTCAGACATGACCCACTGCCAAATATCCAGGGTTTGGAAGGGGAATAGAACTTAAACTACTCTAACCTACTGAATGTTCACAGGGGTGGGAGAGGACACGGGGCAGAAACCAAGACAAGGACTTGCACAAAGCCAGCCAAGTTACCTCTAGGGATAAGCAAAATTCCTACAACAGATACACCCCCAGGTTTTAGAAACAACATTTTTTTTTGGAAGCCAATTCGGTATTTTCTAAGCATCCAAGGATTCACCAAGGAGCAGAGCTTTTCAACCAGCAATATTACAAAACAGTACTGATTGCAGAAGTGAACTACGTATTTCAGGAAAGAATTCAAAAGTGAAAAAGATGCAAGAAAAAGTGCAAAAGATGCAAGGCATTCTTAATGGTTTTTCCTGAGCTTCTATTTGCTTCTGTACAAACCCCTTTAGTTCTTGTGTTTTTCTTGAGTGATAGTCAAATGGAGGTAAGTAACTGGGAGTACAAGACAGCGTGTCTAGA